TATAAAATGATAGAGTTGTATGGTGAGTGGAATGCTGATGTGGCAGTCCATGACACTCTGGTAGAGTGTCATGCACTGGAGATGCCCTAACCAACAATGAAAAATAGAATTTTTATCCTTAACGGGTTCGGGTTTGGTTATAACCAACGATGAAAAATAGAATTTTTACCCTTAACGAGTTCCCCAACGGGGATTGGGGAAACCACGGGGACCTGATGGGGATCCCCGATGGGGATCAGAACAGTTTTAGCTACCGGTTTCGGGGACGGGGATACCGATACCCGGCTTGAACCCGGCCCATTGCCATTCCTAGAAAAAATCAAACATAACCCGGACTTACAATTTTTGAAATCTATACATCCTCCCGATCAGATGAAGGTGTTGGTCCGGTAAACAATAATTCCCACAAAGGATGTGGTGGCTGAAAATGACATCATCAAAGCAGGAGGTAAAAAAACAAGAAAGGAGTTTATGAATCCTGCTAACAAATTATTACAATTATATCCACACCACATACTATTAATTATTATTATTATTATTAAGGTTGTAACCTGATTACTAAAGTTTGTTTTCATAAAAATTACCAGAAATGAAAGGACAGTATATTAGGCAGCGATGGGCTCGGTAGCTTGGTTCAGCCATGCCTTCTCGGAGTCGTTGAGGTACGGTGCCAAGATATCTCTACATTTAGCATGATAGCTGTTCACCCATTTGACTTCTTCCGCTGCCAGAAGGCTCACATCGATCAACTTTTTCTGATACGGTGCCTGTACAAGTAACAACAGAACCGTACACTTGATCTCATTATGATGTTTGTTTTGGACACCTCTCATGGAGGTTCAAAAAATTCACACGGTTCATCCGGAAAAGATTCAGGCTGGTCAGAGACAGCTAGACGGTGATTGACCTTGATAAGTGTCCACATTTCTAATTTAACATGTCCACTTTCAAAAATAGATGGTTATAATTTACTAAATTTCCAACTCTACCCTTAATATGGCACACTGATATTTAAGAGTTGATGAGATAGAGAGAGAGAGAGAGAGAGAGAGAGAGAGAGAGTGTGTGTGTGCATATTTGTTGTGATGGTGCAATGATGGCAATTGCGGTTGTTAACTTGTTACAGATGCATTTGGTATGCAAACAAGACTAGATAGAACTGGATGGGACGGATGAAAGAATTGTACAAGGTTATAAGGTTCTACTTTGACATGGGTAGTTTAGTAATTTAACACTCTTATCCTAATTTTTTTCCACATTTTCGTGGCTCACAAAAAAATGCATTTTTTCCCACTCAGTCATGTCCATCCTGTCCCACTTACAAAACACACCAACAACATGGTCTATTAACAAATCAAATTTCGAAAGATCAATACGGATTGGGAGTTAGAGCAGCTTACTTTGGGAAGTATGATTGGTGCTTATGCATGTGTGAATACAGCAATGTTGTGAAGAAGAAAAAACAAAAACCAATATGAAATTCAGCAAACTTACCCATGTTATGTGCTCAAATTCCAAGTAGCCTTTCTTCGCAAAGTTAAACTGTGTAGCTGCCTCCTTGATTATAAGCACATTCTCCAATCTAATACCGAATTTTCCATCTTCATAGTAACCAGGTTCTGAAAAACAAAGTCCCAGCACAGTAACGTCTCCAAACAGAAATAAAGCAAAAGCTTTATGATAATGAGAAGCTAGTTATTGTTATGCTAAGCATGGTAAGTATATTTTATGGCGACTTTACGCATTTTCAAGGAAATGACATCTGATAGGAGTTCATGAAGAAGCAGGATTAGAGTAGCATACTTGGGGTGGGGATATGTAGATAGCATAAAAGTTAGAGGGTGGGGGATGGGGTTAAGGAACCGTTAGTTAGGGTAATAGAGCCCTAAGTTAGACCAAGGTATTAGGTATGTAGTTTTTTTAATCTTGGTTATGTTTTTCTTGCGCCTGCTTATATTTGTATATTTATTACTGACTCGTATTAATCTTTTATGCTTTTCTCTCTTTTGCACACTTTTCACAAGCCGGTCTTCACGGAAACAATCGTTCTGCTCGGGGTAGTCAGCAGTCATCAGGTCTGCAAACATCTTATCCCTCCCAGACCCAAACCCCGGGTGGGATATACTGTGCTAGCTTGCTTTTGTTTGTGTTCCGATATGCAATATTGACAAGCCATATGCATTTGAATAGGCAAAAAGAGTAGATACCAAAATGTTATCCCATTTAATCAATATGAGATTTTCTTGCCTTATGCAGTTGTAGTCAATTATACCATCTATGGAGCTCATATCCTCAAGAAATTGGTCATATTTTTGCTCTCTGTGAGGCTTATTTTGAAATGAAAAAGTATATTATGGGGTTTGGATATGACCAACTATCAATCTTTTGATAGATAAAAGCAGAAAGGCGATGGCGATGGCATAATACCATCTGAATTTCCAGGTCACCTATGTTGCTTCACCTGATCTTTCAAACAATGTCAATTGGGAAAGATTTGAGATTTCTAGGGATTTAGACATCTCTATGATGAAGATTGAGGCCATTGGCTTGCCCACAATACAAAAGACTGCATGCAATTCGATTTTGATGAAATTCCATGAGGGGCAGATTGATTGAAAACCGTAAATATTTTGATAACCGTGAGAACCAAGTATTTATGAATTCATGATGAATATAATGAAAATGCATGATATTCACGATGAATACTATTCATGAATATTTAGGTATATTCTTAATGAATAATTTATCAAACAAAACCCTAACTCTATTCACTGTATGGATATGCTACAGGAGCCTGTTCAAATACTGAAGAATTGAGTTGATATTCAAGAGGATAAACATGTATGTGTTTGGTACACAGACGGGACTGGAGAGAACTGGACGGGCGAGAACGAGTTAGGCGCATGAAACAACTGTCAAGGTTTCAGTTTTTAATTTGACATGGGTAGTTTGGTAATTTACCAACTGTGTCTCAGTTCTCTGATTTTTGTTCTGCCAGAGGAGTGCATTTTTGTCCCTCTCAATCCTGTCATGTCCGGTCTAATGTCGCACCAAACATGGGACAATACAAGTTTTTATTCTGTCTTGTCCTGTCCTGTCCTGTCTGACATACCAAACGTATCGGTACAACATATGTAGTTCATATGTTGGAAATTTCTTTAGGCAATGACTATTTTTAGCCGCAAAAATAGTAAAGCAATGGTAAAACTCAAAAAACAAGAAGACAGGCGAAGTTAACTTTGAAAAAGAAAAAAAAATGATAAATGCTAAAAGCGAAGATGCAATAGATACCATCTGTTACCGTCATTGAAGCTTGCAGTGGGACACTCAAACCAGGTCTGAAACTGATGGAATGTGGTCCTGTCCATTAAACATACATGGTATGAATATTAACAGAACTAGGTTAAAGCATTTCGTCTCTGATTACAATAATATGTGTATATATACAAAATAACTGAATAGGGTATTCCACTTGACCCACCTTCATGAACATTTAAGTAAGAGCCTATCCCGTGACCAGTTCCATGTCTATAATCAAGACCATATGACCACAATGGAACTCGAGCAAGAACATCAAGAGCATGACCTGATAGTGTGCACTTTTAATTAGTAAATTTTGAATGTAAGATATGAAAATAGTAATACCAAAAACAATGAGATATGAATCATACTGGTAAAATACAAAAACTACTTAATGGCATTCAGTAGAGATGCTCATTTTATCATCAAATTTAGAGATTAATCATTGACATGAGAGAAAAAGATATAGGTGATCTTACCTGTAGTGCCATTGGGAAATTGCACATTACCCAAAGCAAAGTGACCCTTGAGAACCTGCGTGAAACAATGAATTAACATCCTCAAAATGAACAGCCTTAAAATTTACAGTTCTGAAGATGGCAAAGTCCAGACAGCATAATTAATTTACAGCCTTAAAATTCATGGAACTCACTAACATAATAATAGTAGCAAGCAGATAATAACTTGTAAACTGCAAGATTAATGAAATTTTAATAACTTTTTGGTAATTGTATATTTGTATTTGTCCACCTATTCTTTGTCTGATTTTCAATAAACCTACATTCATCCTAGTAAGACTCGTGACCCAGAGATGTTAGAATTTCTGGTACTTTGTTTGAATCACTTGTATATGAAGGCCTGCACGTATCTCCAACACATGTTCACAGGTAACATTGACTTGGGAGACGTGGGTTGAGGATAGTGCTCCCACATCAGAAAATTACAACTTATTCGATGAGTACGTATGCCGTTAGATTACTCAAATAAAGGCAATTGATTTTTTTCTGTTAGAAGCCCACACATTTAATACAGTACGGTTTTAATTATGGTACGGGAGACAGGTGGTAACAAATTTGCAGAGTTCATGCCACTCAAACGGTACATACCTGCATTTGCCTTTGAGGTAACTACACACAACAGGACATGTTGAGGCTAATGATCCCATGTCATGATAATACAACTTATGGGTGATGAATATGAACCAGGATTAATCCGCTCATAATTAATTGAACGAGTTAGAACCCCAAACACTCGTGATGGTAAAATAAAGATTGTAAATAATTAATATTAATACTAAAAACAGTAAAATAAAAAAGAGCCCTACCGCAGTATAACATCTTTTTTCATGTTCAGAAGGCTTTCCAAAATGAACAGTCCGAGTTATATCCGTTGTCCCATCCAGATACTATAAGAAATAACACCATAAAATAAAGTGATGAATGCTTTAAATATGCAAAAGGTAGTTATGGCATATAGGCATTAACCTAAATCTGTTATTTACTCCATTGATAAATACTGAACGGAAGTTGTGAGAAAACCTGTGCTCCAGAATCACAAAGATACATGCTGTTTGGATCAAGTTCAGCACATGTTTCAGCTTCTGGTTCGTAGTGAATAATTGCCCCATTTGGACCAACTGACGAGATAGTAGGAAAGCTCAACCCTCTGAAGTGCTACAAACATACAATAGAGCGTCTAATTAGTAAAACAGCATGTGAACTTAATAAGCCATGATTAGTAGTTCAAACCAAAAATATTGATAGAGAACTTATAAATCATGGAAGAAGATCCATTCAGATGGGAACTTCCTTTAGGTTCCAAAGGTGACCATAAATACAGTTCAAGACACCTCTTGGTAATTGAACAATCAGAGTCATCATTTCAAGGTAATCAAATCTATGAAATAACACATCCATTTATAAAACCTTCATTTTGTTTGATGAATTGATGCAGGTCATCAATTTGACATCTTATAAGATTACAACTTCTTAATTAGGCATTACCTCTTTCGCAGCACGGAACTCCTCTAGCTTATCACTTACCACCACTTCTGTCAGTTTCACATCTCCACTGCAGCAATCATCAACAAGAAATATACCCGTGTCAGAAACTATGAAGGGGGAGGACGTGAATAATTTTATCAGAAGTAATTAAGCAATATGTATAATAACAGGCACAGGCTTCTCATCCGTCGCATGCTTACTTATTACTTGATATAACGTGTTTCCATTAACTTATACATAGTCACTAAAGCATTCAAGGTTACATGTACTTGAGCTTTCACCGGAACATATCGAGCAAATATATCTACATTTAAAGAATAATAACCTACGAGTGTTTTTTAGAACTTATGCTTTCTGACTCCTTGAAATAACCCGAGGCCCCATAGATTTCCTGCATCTGCACATTTATGGAAAAGCAGAGATTAATTCAAAATAGAATTAACAAAAAGATAAATTATGATGTCTTAAAATTTCACTTACGAGGCCTGAACTGAACATGGATATAGCAAGTCCACAAAATATCAGAAAAATGATCTTTCTATCCCGTTATTAACAACAGTAGATTAAACTGAAATGCTAGAAATGATAGAAAGGCGAAAGGCCCTCTTAGGGGTCAGAAATATGCCTAGATAGATACAAAAGAATTAGGCCTCTAGATGGGTGCATGACAGAGAGTCATTTTTACCCATGCTCGCTACTCTCTTTGAAAACATCTGTCTTTATCTTGCTTTCGGCAGCTCCATAAGACTATATTGGTGGAGTTATCAACATATCATTACAACGACAAAGTTAGACATAATTATTATTAATGAGGGGTTTATTGTATCATACATGTCATCAGTCACAATTCAAACCATAAATATTCTGAGCACAGATTCGACTTTTTAGCCATTTATTTCTCCATGTACCATATTTATTGTGCTATTTAACTACGTAAAGTTAAGAGCATTAAATATATATCTTGATTAAGAGACATTTTGCAAGGGCCTTTCTATTAAGGCTAACATTTACATAGGGAGCTAGGTACTCCATTTCCTATGTGGTAACAGTCTACAGGTATGGCTACTACGCATTTAAGAAAAGAACAAGAACCAAAAGGAAATTTTGTGCATTTAAGTTAAGAGGCCTGCCACAACATGCAACAAACTCAAGACTCAAAAACATACCTGCTTATCCAGCCAGGCAAGGTATTGCACAACAGCTGCACCATCCCGAATATGTGCATTCTTTAACCCCTCCATCTCTACAGGATTCTGAAAAGAAATGTCAAATTGTTTATTCCAAAAAACTGGAAGAAGATTATAGAGTGGAACAACCATATCATTTTTCAAATAGTATGCCTGAAAATAACAGTGAATTGGAAAACTTAAGACAGGCAAAGAATGAGGGTCACCTTGAATTACAAGAGCTTTTCAAGGAGTACAAGTCAAACTAATTGCATACAGTCATATATGCATAACGAAAACCTAAAAAAATATAAGCTTAAATGACAGACAAATACTGAAAATGCAACCATCTGACTGTTTAAATGGTTAAAGCTCTAAAAATAAGTCCTCTTACAGACCATTTCTCAGGTAAAGGTTTCACTCTTCATGTTGTTTATTTTGATACCATTGATGTTCTATACTGAATCTTCTTTTTACAAAGCAACTTTCTCAAGCTCTATCATTATAATCCTTCCATGAGAAACGTCTTCACATTATATATATTGTAATCATGTAATACCCATGTGCATGGTCACTGCATCAGTGTTGAGTAACAAATGCATGGAGTAACACTTCAGATTGCCATTTTGAGGAAGACACAAAAACAAAGCATATAGACTACCAATTGTATCTAACAATCATAAATTTAGAGCTTAAAATAGCATGCAAAATAAAAGGAGATATACTAAAAAAGGCCAAAAAAACCAATTTCAGTAAATCCAAATAAACCAAAAATAAAACTGATACATCTTCAGACCAACATAGATACATTACCTTCAAAGATTTTGGAAGGGCCAAAGGTGACTGTTGTAGGAGGACCTGGTCAGGGTTTAATTTTGAATACAGAGAATAGCAGCAGCGAGGATCAACCCAAATCTTATGGCTATTATCTGCTGCTTCAAGTGCACCATTTGATTGTGTTCCCTTTGCTGATGTCAGCTGATTAGATGCAAGCAGAGCCACATCTGAGCTCACTGCACTGTAGTCCTTTACTGTTATTTTATTTTCCTCCATATAAGATTTTACCTGCAGAAAATATACATCTTAATCTGCATACCCAAACAAGCCCCCTTTGTCTGGAAACTACAGTCAAACATACACTGGCAACTCACATAATGAACAAACAGATTATAAATGAACCTACCTCAGATGACAATTTCCGTTCATCCACATACAAGAAAGCCGATGATGTTGTTACAACAGCAAATGCATGAACAACAGGAGAAAAAGAGACATCACCTCCACGGATATTAAATAACCAAACAACCTGGGAAAACAGAATCATGATGAAGTTGCCTTGGCACTGCACACTTGATTAATTCATTGGCAACAAATAGGTAGAAAAGTAACATGTGTAGCTCTAGATATCACAACCGACAACTCAACATTGAAAAAGAATCATCGTAAAGCTATAGTATCACCTCATCAAGTGTTGTAATTATTATTCCACGAGCTTTTTCCTTTTTAAGATTGTCTCTTAAATCCTTTAACTTGTCTGAAACTGAACGACCAGAAAATTTCAGAGGATGCACATGAACAGGGTTGATTTCAGCTTTTGGTTGATCCTTCCAAACTTCATCAACCAAGTTTCTGGTTGTGGGAACTAATTTTTGTTGCTTCTTTGCAAACAAAGACCTCCATTTCTGTGCAGTTTCTACCGATATACACCAGAAATCAATACCGATAGCTGAATCTTGAGGTAAATTCTGATACAGAAGATGGGAGTCTCATTAGTTAAAATATGATAATGGGTAAGATCAAACAGTAGCAAGATGTTAAATCTAATATCTCTTCTCCAATGTAAGAGGAGGGTTGGAAGCCAGGAAGTTGGAGAAGGTCATACAATGGATATCCACAAATCTACAGCTGGGTCTTCTCCCATACGCATAAGCTTCCATTGGTCACTTAGTTGTTGTTCTGCCTGAAGAAAGTACCGTCCATCCGTCCAAAGCAGTGCTTCATTCATTGTTACAAGTGCCAAACCTAAAGAAGTTCATAACAGTAAGCAAAACACGCATCATGCGACCAACAGCATCGCTATTTCATCAAAACTGACCAAGATGGGGACTGCTAGCTGTGTCATGTACCCTTTGCCACAACACATGAAATGTAGCAAGTCACCTCAATCATGACAAAAATACTTTGAGAGATTATTCTGTACTAACGAAACAAAAGGTTCAACACAGCCATGTGAAACGGTGGAACTACCCCCAAAGGTTGCCATGGGTAGTACATTAGTGATGTATGGGTGCAATGCACTAGTGTGCATGTTATGAATGCAAAATCCACTGAACATCATATCAGTAAACCAGCAAGAGCTCGTCCTGTGTAACATCTATTAAAAAAATTTAGAATTTTAATGACCTGTTCTACAACATTATGTGTACTATATAATAATTAAATGAAAAGTTAGCTTACTATCTGGTCACCACATTAAAATAAATTACCAGGCAAAATCAGTATGAGTTCCAAAGTTGAAAATTTTAAACAGTTTCACTTTTCTTGAAGAACATCGGTTATCAAATCAATATGAATGCCAAAGTTGAAAAAAACTTGCTTGACATCCAAATTTCAACTAAAAACACTCTCTTTGCAACTCACCTTCAATTAGCAAATTTAAAACTGAACCAAAAAGATAAACAAAAAAATAAATACATTCAAGGAACAGAACTAACCAGCACTTCCAGTAAATCCAGAAACGAAAGCACGCCTCTTGTCTCTAGCAGATACGTACTCGCTCTACAACGTATCAAAACACACATTTAGAAAAATAAAAAAAATACACAAACTAATCACCTGATCAGGAAAAGGAATAATCTATTGACGGATGCACTTACACCACAAACACAATCAATTAAAACTTCAACTGCAAATTGTTTGACATTATAAGAAATCAGAAGAGAGACGACGATTCAGATAAGGAAGGTTTAAAGTAAAACCTGATGATAATCTTCAGATGGAACAACTAGGGCATCGAGAGGCGGAGTATGTGAAGCCATTAAAGATCTCAAAGCAGCGAGAATATCCGCCATCGCAGTTGTTCTTTCGAGTTTTCTGAAGCTATTCGATGAGAAGAGAGGGTTTATGATGGACGATCAATCGCAGGAGTAACGATGAGACGATCAGGCTACGATCTAAGTACCTCTGGTGCTTTTCAGTTGGGGAGAGATTTCATCGGCGATGATAAAGGAAAGATTTTATATCTGATTAATGGATAATTGAAAGTTGAACCAGATAATCAGTAGAAACGTTAAATTCCAAAGTTCAGGGACTATCTGTGACATTCTACAAAAGATGAAGTCTAAGGGACTAATAAGCAATTAACGCTGCCTTTGGTAGATTGAACATAAGAGAAAGAGAAAATGATTTTTATATATAACATAAATAAAATGGAAAATACATGTTATATTTTATTTTTATACCTTTTCTATATTTTTATTAATTTATGTAATTTATTAAATATTAATGAAAAAATAATATAGAAAAGATATAAAATAAAATTTGGAAATTCCATAAACTATTTTTGGTATCATTTTGATTGTCTTGATGAAAACTTTTTTATGATGCACTTTGTTAGAAAAATTACTTATTTTATTATAATATAATAATCATAAAATTAATCAAATGATATAAAAGATACAAACAATTCATTATGGATAAATTGGTCATTTTATCAGTCTTGTCCTTTACTATTCTTGTCTATCTTGTCTTGTTATGTTTTGTTATGTCTAGACACCAAAAACACCGTCATGAAACTTGGTGGACCTATTTGACTACGGAAGAGACACCATTTCGAATTGAACGTGTGATCAAGAAACCGGAAAAGAGTTGGCAATAGTTGCGAGCATGACTATGTGCTCAGATGTTTACTGAAATCAACATAATTAATTATATTCTTTTATCTGTTATTTCCAAGCATTACCCAGAAGAAAGTAGCAATAACATCCAAGAAGAATTCAGCGAAATCATGATAACGTTTCGATTCAACTTTGTGTCGTGGTACTTGATTAGTTGTATTTTTTATTGTAGTCGATCTGTCTAGTACAAAAAATATGATAAAAAATAGGCCTAAAGCCATCAATTTGATAAAATAATAATAATAATAATAATAATAATAATAATAATAATAATAATAATAATAATAATAATAATAATAATAATAATAGTGTTCATGGCATGCTCAATGGGTTCTATGCTATTAATGCATGAAGTATCGGTCAATTTGTTGTTTTAAGTATGTCAGGATGTAGTAATGCATGTCTCTAGTGAAGTGATGCAAAAAAGAATCAACAAAAACATATTAGCAATGAGTTTGTATAGAATTCAGTTTGTTGTATACGAAGAACAACCCATGTGCAAATAACATGAGCTTGAATGCATTTTCGGAGGTCATGCAGGCGAGCTCAATAACAGAAAACTGGATGAGAACTCAAGCTCGCACAGGAAGAACCACTCAAGTAGGAACTCACATTAAAGGTTAGGTGACCAGTCAGGCAAGTGTATACGCTCGCCTAGGTGTAAGCGAGCACGTGCACAATTTCAAGGTCGTGCACCACCTTGCATACCTCCATATTAGGTGCAATAAGAGTCATATTAGTGTAGATTGTTTAGTAAAATCAATAGGTTGTGTTTAACGATCAATACAAATGATTAGATGACATATATAACATATGTAGATGTGAGTTTCATTTGATTTGAAATTGGAATGAATACACGTGTGTGTGGTTCAATATTTTCAAATATGTTGTACGTATATTATGTGTTGAAATCTTTTTGACATGCCAAATGTTTCAATATGTTATATGTGAAGTTATGCATGAGAACGTTTTGGTACATGTGACAAGTCACCTGTTGGGCACTTAACAACCCTAATGTCTATAACAATTTTTTTTTATTAACCTAGATATCCAACCCGTTATGCGAGCCGACTAATCCCAGGGCGACCACCTACTTTGCAGATAGTCCGAAGTCACCGCATTTGAACCTCCGTGGTCACAAGGGGATTTTTGTTCCTCATTGGATTTGAACCTGGGACCTCCAGGTACTTTTGACCTTTGGAGCCAAGCTCAAACCAATTAGACATGAGGCACCACCCTTGTGGTTCATAACAATTTCTTTTCGTAATGAAATACAAACATGGATGATGTTCCTTGGAATTTCACAAAGTTATGGACCAAAATTAATCTCTATAAACCATAGGGACGATTTTGTAATTTACTCTATCTTTAATTACATAAACTTTTAATAATACCTATATTTAGGGAAATTAATTAAAAGAGTCATTTTGACCGCATGATTTCACCTTTTACCCATTTCTTTCTCAGTAATTGGCAAGTCCGTAATTCATGGAGAGGTCAAAGTGTAAAAAAAAAGTTTATGAACCATATCCGCAATTATGAGGACCAAATATGTAAAAAAAAAAAACACATATGCAATTACCAACATATTTTTGCAGAACTATAACTAATTTACATATTTGGTCCCTTTAATTACGAACTTGGTTAAAAAATTTCTTTTCTTTTACACTTTGACACCTCCGCAAATTGCGGACCTATGTATATTTTCGTTATTTTAGAGAAAAATGTCTAAGAAATGAAACCACCATGTATTTATTAGTTTTACAAATTATACCCATATATTTTACCATAATTTAACAAATTTCATTAGTAATTACAAATTGAAACATTTTATTATATATAAATTTTTTTTTAAATAATAAAACTTACGTTATAAAACAAATCCACAAAATAATACATACGCATTTAACCATAAGTTTAAAATGGGGTATTGACCAAAACAACCAATATACGAAATGATTGTTATAAAACGTCAGTATTTTTTTTACCACTTCAAAGTAAATCGACGGTCAAAAATCGTAATTGATGATTTCTATCTTTTCAACCAAGTGGACCCACATGACACCAAAAGAGGGGCTAAAATCTGATTTTACCATAAAATCACAAACAACCTCATTGTTGGCGACCGGCGATTTTTTGGGTTTTCTAAACTCACCCACGAATCCTTGTTCGACACAGAAAATTGCCAACCAATGGAGTTGTTGGCGACTTTTCTTCTTTTTTGGTGTCATGCGGGTCCCACAGTAAGTTAGTTTGTTAAAAGTTGAAAAAAATATGATATGATCGTTTTGATTGATGAATACTCTTTTAAAATAATTATATCTTTCTTTCGTTATCACTTTAATCTTTGATTAATACAATATAATACATATAATATAATTTTTTTAAAATTTTATATGATTAAAATAAAAGTACATAAATGAGTGTATGAGATGATGTGTTCATTAAAAATATTTAAATATAACAATTGATGTTTGATGTGGATATAATGCGCCATTCTTTAAAGCTTTCATAGATGGGTTTCAAACTTTGCAAATCATGATGACACATTAATGCATATACAAAACTAAGGTTGATATCAAATATGCATACATCTTACCCTCTGTAGACCCCACCTCCAGGTGGGATATACTGGGTTTATCTAGTTTGGTTACAAAAACAACACAAACACCCTGAACAAATGTTATATGATGGTGCATCGGTATGTAACAACAAATCAAATATACGACAAATGTACAGAGTTCCAAGGGATCGAAAGATGCGTAATCACAAAATAGAATCATATTCAAAACCACAAAATGTGTAATGGTTCGATAGAAATTAAGAACCAAAGCCGGTCAAGCTTGAGCCAGTTTCTTAACCACACCAGCCATGTACTTGCCTTGATGTTCAGCAAGTGCCAATTCAGTATCAGTGGGTTCGCGGGTCCCGTCACCAGCAAACACACCGGCACCATAAGGTGTACCTCCACGGATCGAGTCCATTTTGAACATACCTGCCCCAAATGTGTACCCAACTGGAACAAAAAGCATTCCGTGATGAGCTAGCTGCGTGATCGCTGTCCAACTGCACACACGAACAAATCGAAAGAAAAGAAATGGATAAATGGGGACCTTTCTTCGAATTGAAAACCCACAGCAGTTGACCATCTTCAAAGTCAAACAATGGAGATGGAGTTTGAAAAGCATTGAAATCAATGTGAAAAACTGAAAATATAAAGATACTTGATGTAGTTTGTTTCCTAGGAACATTAAGACATTATGTAGATGAATTTTTGGCTGAAAATAAAAGAAGTGCGCAAACGGGCATAAAGTACAATGACCCAAGAAAAAAATTGATAGAAGAGTCGCGGAAAACTATTTTACTCAACAATACAAAAGCCCAAGAAATGTATTTCCGCTTGAAGCCACAACATTGTAGAAGTAACCGACAAATAAAGGCTAGGCTCAACAAGCAAATAAACAGTCACCGGTTTAAGTCTCCTTAGAGGCACTCAGATTTTCCCGACTATTGTCTTTAGGGGCCCATGGGATTTTAGTCAAAGTGCGCATAAGCTGGACCACACACCCACAATTACCAAAAAAAATTGTGTTCATGTGTTCAAGACCCCGTGTAGAAGTAACTTGTGTTCTTCATTGCTTCAATGCAATCTCAAACCCAATTCCTGTCTACCACCAACAGATCCACCATATAACAACATCCAACAATAGGGGTTGAGCTTGATGTTCTAACCTCTATAACCATTGTCTTAAACAAAGTGAATTAACCCTCAATTATGAAGCAAAACATCCCAACATACCAATACTAGTTGAATTGCATCCTAGCACATACCAACAACAAAATGGGATACATTTGAATAGAGTTGGGTTCCGGTGAGAAGGAGAGTTAAGGTGGGAAGCGTAAGCACGGATCTCCACCCTTGGATGCACATTAGGATGAGATGCACCGGATCAATCTTAGTATCACACGCGATTCATGGATGGGTTTGAGATTAAAGGTGATCACGGGTCCAGATCCCTTCTTACGCTTCTCATCTTAACTTTCCTTTTCACAGGATGCTTCGCCTATTTGAATAAATCACAAGTTAATTCATTAATTTGGCCATTTAGGTAGGATACCAAATAATTAATCTTCAATAAATGGTCTACAAAGCATACACACACATACATATATAAGCAAACCACAAGGGTGGTAGCAAGGTGGATAAAGACAAGGGGATGATAAAATCAACCCGGGTTCACATCCTGCCCTCTACATATGCGCATGTAGCTACTGAGAGATTTACTTCACGGTTGTTAAAGAAGCCTATAGTTGCAACTTGCCATGGAATTAGTCTACGCAAACCCTGGGATCACCCATTTGCAACATACACACCAAATGGTCATCGGTTTGGATCAACGGTATTTGGGTAATAGACCCCAACCTCTCCAGAGGTCAAGGGTTCAAGCCTCACCAAAGGTGAAGAGAGTATGTGAGTTTTGGGACATATAAAGATTACATGTATTTAAAAAATACACATATATATAAGCATTAATTTTAGCTCATTCTTTCCATTTGGAACTAAAACATCCATTGATGGTTTCTTTATCTATGATTCATCAAATGAGAAGCCCATAATTATTCTCGACTCATTGTTCCTAATTTTCCTATTGATATGCTCCTTCCTTCCACATTCTTATTGATACTTTTAGGAGTCATTGACTTTTAGAACCGTTATATCTGGCTCTTCACTGCAAGAAAATCATCGGTTTTGTAGGAATGCAAAACGCAATACGCTATGCTACACTAAGCACCCAATCTTGTAAAGTATATCTCTTTTTCTTTTTTGTATTTTAGCAAAAATGATTGTTTTGCGACAAAAAACCAAGTACAACGGTTTGAGAAGTCAATATCTCATATCTTGGGGCCTCCAACCTCATATAATTCAGTTCGTATTATTTACTTGATATAAACTGCAAATCCTAAGTTCAAAAATTCTTCTGGTTTATTCATATCTAGAAAGAAAGTCCTTTGACACCCAACTCACCCCTATATACAAGTTTCCATCTTGTGACCTTGAGTATCGACACGATGATGATAAAACATAAAACCAACTTGAAACACAATCTTAAGGTCGTAAATACATAAGAAGTCAATTCAAATATGTCATAGTCAAATAGCCAAACCAAACCAAACCAAATTAGTGGAGTAAATCCCACCCAAAGGTGGGGTCCGGGATGGGGATGATGTTCGCAGACCTGATCTCTACCTCAAAGAGTAGAGCGGTTGTTTCCATCAAGACAAATAAATACGAGTAAGCAATTACATACAATACAAATATATGCAGGTGTAAGATATGTAATAGTCAAATGATGATCGTAAAACCTAGTATTGGAACATAACAATTGCATAAATGCAAAGAGGAATTGAGCATACAGATGACAATTGGACAAGAAACTAGTATATACACAGGGGGTTCTTTGTCAATTTGATTCAATTAGGCCACATACATGCATTTCAATCTAAAATTAGGATCTTCTGCGCCATGTCATTTCATCAATTTGATTCAATTTCAAACCGTAATAGTCAACTGGTAGCAGAATCTTCCTAATTGGATAAGAAAACCATTCAATTTCCATATCAATTTTGCAATATAATCACATTTCAATTGCAATCAGGAATGGCATCAATGGGGAATTGCACTTACGCTGTCGTCTCTTGTCCGCCGCCCTGTGTACCAGTACTCACGAAGAATCCGGCCGGCTTCCCGGCGAGCTTCTGTTCTCTCCATAACTGTCCCGTTGAATCAAAGAACGCCTTCATCTGCGCCGCCATAGAACCATACCTCGTCGGAAACCCAAACAAAAACCCATCGGCCGATTCCAGCTCATGCACCGATGCTATCTCGAGAATCTCATCGTCCTTCGATGGGGCCCGCATATGCGCCAGTACATCATCAGACAACGTCTCCGGCACCCGGAACAACACCGCCTCCACGCCGTCAACACCGTCGACTCCCTTCTTCATCCGACGCGCCAGGGTTTCAACATGGCCGTACATCGAGTAGAAGACGATCAATATCTTGAGCTTCGCCACCGTCACTATAGGGACTTCTTCATCTCGTGTCTGAACCTCCGGCGCATTGCTGGGTGAGCCACTACTGACCGGAGCATTATCGTTGTCAACCGCCGGCGGACTTTTCTTACTGGGAACGCAACCACCGCCTTTGCCCATTACAAGTCAAAATCACCAGCAAATTTCTGGGTAAAAAGTGAAGAATTTTCTCTGACAACAATGGCGGAATTCGATTTGGATTCAACTTTTAGGGGGTTTAGTTATGATGATTAGGGATTTCACTGTTGAGGGCATTGGATCCAACGTCAACTTTACATTTGAAGCACGCTTTCGATTATTATGTCTCTCTCGCTTGTTGTTGGCAGAAGACTTCCATTGCCATCCATCCGCCAATCACATCCTCCAAACGTCGTCGTTCCAACCAGCTTTTTTCTCTTTCTTTCGGTTTCTTGAATTTTCAAAAAGTTTCACAAATAGAGCTTCAAAAAAGTCAATTTTAATTGTTTTATATAAAAATACAATTCATTTATATTACAATTTAATAAAATTTAAATTTAAATAAAAATTTGGTGAACGATTTTAAAGTAATTCATAACAAAGATATTTATAAGATTTTAAATTATTTTATTTATTTAGAAAATGTTTAACTTTTAAAGAATATCAAAGAAATATTAGATAACTTAGGGGCTGTTTGGCAGTTGCTGAATGATTTAGTTCAGAATAGTTAAGAGGTTAGAATGGCTAAGAGGATCAGAATGGTTAAGTGCTGAATGAAACAAGGTTGTTTGGTAATTGTTCTCTGAATGATAGCAAATTACCATTTTAACCCTAGTTATGATTTAGTACTGAATAAACCAACATACAATTA